CGCCATGAGCGCATGATACGCCCGTCGTCTTGTGTGTGAATTGTTATTCAATAATCATAAATAGTTTCTGACATACGGCCTGACATGCGAAAACCCCCTTTTTTAACAAAATACTCAATATCTCTAAAATAAAATTTTGAATCATCACCAAAAAGTATACAGATCTTAAGATTAACATAACTAAGAAGTGTGTAAAGTTTTAAGCAATAATCATAAATTGTTTTTGAGATACGGCGCGACATGTGAAAAAAAACACACACCTGTTTTAGTTACCAAGTCCCGTAACTCAAAAAGTGTTAATCTTATTTTCACCAAAAAGTATACAGATCGTTTGACCATCATAAGAAACAACTATGTTAAGTTTCATAAAATTTGGATAAGTCGTTCTGATGTTACGGTGCGACATGTTTACGCCGGACAGACAGACGGACGGAAGGACGGACACCGGACATGTGTATACCATAATAACTCCCGTCAAAAAGTGACGGGCGTATAAAAACTATTTCTATCAATGTCAACATTCATAAAATTGTGAATTTATGTAGTAATCGTAGATCAGCGGAATATAACGACTGAATTATTCGGGTTACATGTACACCACCTCTATATTCTGTTATCTAATTTTTATTTTGCCTCGCTTCTTACTAACTTAGTTTCCCCATAATTCTCAAATCTGTAATCCCCATTCATATACTTATAAATGGTGGTACCATTTATAGCCTCATACATGTAAATAATAATTGAAACAACTTGAAACAAAAAACACACAAATATTAGTGTATGCATGGGCTTTTAGAGAAATATTAGTCCCCGAATCTGTTAAAATGTAGATCTTAATAAGAATATAATAGCAGTTTATCTATGATTTTACATTTATTCTTAAAAAATGTCAATTCATTCTTTTCTGGATTTAAGGGGGGAGGGGGTGAAGAGAAGGATGGGCGGATTTTTTGTTGTTGTTTTTTTGACAAATTGTTTATTTCCTTTGAATATAAGGGACGAAAAAATACTTCATTTCGTTAAAAAAATCTTGTTTCATTGTATTAAAAATAAATAGATTAATTTGTTGCTGAATAATTTCACAAAAAAAGACAATTCGAAAAAAAATATGAATATGTTTAACCTCGTCGCATTTTTGCGCCTGTCACAATTCAGGAGCCTCTGGCCTTTGTTAGTCTTGTATACTTTTAATTTTAGTTTCTTTTATATATTTCGGAGTTGAGTATGACGTCCATTATCCCCATATTCATTCCCAATTTCATTTACAAGAAAATTAAATGTGAGTACTATATTTTGATATGAAGACATGTTCCATATATTAATACAGCATCAACATTCTTAAAACTAATGTTTAGGCACTTGCTGATTTTCTTTGATTTTGCCGAAAATCGGTGACCCGTAAGACACGTGTCAAAGAACATATCTGATAACACTATTATCTTGAAAAAATGAAAAAAATTATTATTTTGCATGAGAAAATAACCCTTTATATATGTTTGCCATAAAAATTCATTGGGACTTATCATTGTTTTTTTTAATTCAACATCTATAGTTGAAAATCTTAGGTGTACATCGGTTAATTGAATGATAGAATATAGAAATTGTTTTAGTTTTTTTTTTTTATAAAAAAAAATGTTCCCCCTTTCGAGATTGGTCATTACATAAGTGTGTGCTAAATTTTGGAGACCGATGACTAACAGACTACGAACAGCAAAAAGTGGATACAACATTTGATATGCATGAAAGAACGTTGGACACACAATACTGATTTCACTGAAAAATTTCAACTAGCACATGATACCCTATGAATTTATTTACATACTTGAACTCTTCTAAGGAATATAATTCTGGACAAAAACGAATTCAGTATATGTTAAATGGACAAACAAACAACAGCACTCATTGATGGATACACTTGCGGCTTAATTCATTTTTAAAGCACAATTTAAATGATTGATTAATGGTTGTTTAACGTCCAGTGGCAAACATTTCATACATGTTCAAGGCGAGAAGTCGTTTCAGAAAGAGATTATGAATTATAAGGTATTCTAAAATGTTAAAATGTTATCATCGTTTAGCAAAAGGAAATTTTCTTAGCTATTAGAATTGGTACGTCAATATTTTTCTTACAAACTTATATCTTTTGCTTTAAAATTAACACATATAAGGTTCTGATCTTATTAAAACAATGTCACTTAAGTCTCGAGAATTATTCGTGTATTTGGGCTTTTGAATTCCGCTGCATTTGTTTGCATCTGCCCTAACCTGCTGTTTAGTGGTTGTTGTTTGATTATGTATTTCAAAAGTCGAATATATAGACCGTTAGTTTTTCCGTTTGAATGGTTCTACACTGGTCATTTTGGGGCACCGTGTAGCTTGCTGTTCGGTGTTAGCCAAGACTTTGTGTTGAAGGCAGATGAGTAAAATTGTATGAATTTAGTAATGACTAGCAGAGCACTATCAGACTCAAGACAAACAGTGTTCATGTATATTTGGTATCCGGTATACGAGTACGGGGCGCATTTAAAACTGTTTAAGCTAAACGAAATTTTAATTTTCCAGGCGAATTAGACAAAAAAAAAAGATATGTTTTAATGTGAATTTTTAAAAGTTCGGGACGGAATTGGTTCAATCAAATTTGCTTAACGTACCGTGGCAAATATTATTGCATATTCTCGACGAAATTACATTTTTGATCAGACGATACCTTCATATAGATTAATGTTTGCGTACAATATCCATTGGAATTCATCAAACATGCTCATTTTGGTCCCTTTATTGGTTATTAAAAAACTACCAGCTTTTTCGTTTTATTTCAAGCAAAATAATTTTTTTTTTATCACAGTCACTTTTTTTTTTATCTCAAGAGCTGCTGCGTGTTTACAAATAAAAAAAAGAACTAATTATACTTTTCGCTGCATTTTAAAAATCTGGCATCATTAACTATAAAAAACTTAGTTTACACATGTGTTTGTCATTATTTAATTTTAATGTGAATATTTGTAAGAGGTACATTTTTACTTTTCTGACTAAAATCGATAACGCTCGGAACGGTTAAACGATAGATACACGCGGATGATGTACCGCTTGAGTGATTTACCTTACAAAAAGGCGGACACTTTAAAGTTTAAAATGACTTAACATCAGTTTGATTCCGTTTAACGGGGGCGTGGCTAATTAGTTTGACGCAGTTTAACCACATCTCAAATTAACTTGAATGACCGCAAGGGAATCTATTTGACTGGTATTAAAATTATTTGATATGGATTGAAATGCATTAAAAATAATTTTTAATTTTTGTCAATCTTTATTCAATTTTCATTAATCTTTTTTAAATGCCGTTAATGCGTTTTTGTCCGTTCAAGCTAAATTCGAGTTACTAGTGCAGGCACATACAGAATTTAGCGTAGTGGGTTCAACATGCTGGCCCCCCCCCCCCCCCCCCCCCCACTAAATTAAGGACAATGATGTTACAGTAATACATAAGAATTGTTCATTTTTCAGGAAAATTGTTAAACAGGGTACCTAATTTGTGTTATCAACTCCTCCTACAGTTTCCAACCCAGATATTCGAAATTCATTAATCGATTGAGAAAAAAACAAATCCGGGTTACAAACTAAAACTGAGAGAAACACATCAAAAAGAAGAGGAGAAGAAAGACACAACAGAAACACAACACTAAAATGCAACACACACAGAAACGAACTATAATATAACAATGGCCATTTTCCTGACTTGGTACAGGACATTTTAAGAAAAAAATGGTGGGTTGAATCTGGTTTTGTGGCTAGCCAAACCTTCCGCTTTTATGGCAATGTTAAATTTAACATTAAAATGACAAGATTACATGACAGGACTACAATACAAATAAAATGGGAGAACATACAGGACAGAGACACACACAAATGATAGCTATCAAAAGGTACCAGGCTTATAATTTAATACGTCAGACGCGCGTTTCGTCTACATAAGACCCATCAGTGACGCTCAGATCAAAAAAGTTCGAAAGCCAAACAAGTACAAAATTGAAGAGCATTGAGATCCAAAAGTTCCAAAAAGTTGTGCCAAATACGGCTAAGGTTATAAGCCTGGGATAAGAAAATCCTTAGTATTTAGAATAATTCATACTTTTGCAAACAGTAAATTTATAAAAATGACTATATAATAGATATACATGTTAAGACCGAAGTGGTGACTAACTACAGAATAAAAACGAATAGTAAAACAACCTAAATCAGCACACAAAAAAGGCACATAAAAAAGCACAGCCAAACAACGTATTATATGTTAGCCGAAGTGATCGACGCACAAAATTTCTATAAAGTTCCAAAAAATAGGATAGAGTTCAAGATTAGGTTTGTAATACTGATATAAGATGTATTAATAACAATGAAAATTACAATACTTATTAATATACAATTGTGGTAGTAATTAGATAATTAATTGTATTATCAAGCTATGTCGGTATTTCTTCTAAATCAAACTGTAAACCAAATACATCGTATAAATTTAGTTGACCCAAACTAAAATCTAATAAATGAACTGGGTGATTAATTATCTGTCAGAAGACAATCGAGAACCCTTATATTACAAAGAAAACATTTTGTATAATCTTTCAACGAATAATACTTTTTGTAAGAATCTTCTCCTTATTTGTTTCACCGGGACATACATTACTTTTTTTTTTAGATATTTATGTTCAAACAAAGAAATCTTTTATATAAAATGTCCCCTTTACAATAAGCACACCGGCGTATTCGTATTATTTAGTTGTGATATTTAAGTAAATTGTATCATGCTAAAGATGGAACACTGTAGAAATTAGTGTCAGGAAATAAATAGCTTTCGATTTTGTATGTACATGATGCTTACCAAACTTTCCTAAACATTTTTTTAAATAATTAAATATCACTGTAACAATCTTCAAATGCAATTTTCTCAATACTAGATGAAACTTAATATGAAATATACAAAATAAGATACACTGTTTTATTTTCAGCGAAGGGAAATACTTTCAAGCGATGATACGATCTATCGCAATGCACAATTTTGTGCATTTTCATGAAGAACAGAGACTCGTTTTTGAAGAAGGTGCAAATTTTGTGATTGGAGGCAATTCGACTGGAAAAACAGCTTTATTTGAGTTAATTCGCCGATGCTATTCAAACAAAATAAATACAACAACATCCTCTGTATTAAACAAAAATGAACTGGCATATGCTCTTTGTCATTTCATGATACCAGAGCACTATCCTTCAATAGAAAAACTGGAGCTCTTTCCTTCCAAAGAAGAACAACCGAAGGAGATTCTTGCATGCATTTTCATCAAGAGTCAAGGAAGTCAGTCCGAAAATAGAGCAAATGCTCAGGCAAATGAATATGAGTGTTATAAGGTTATCTGTTCAATATCTGGTAAAGGTTTTATTCAGACCTTTGTACAAAAATTTATTGGATCCTATGGGTGCTATACAAAACAACTCGACAATAACACCAAAGGCTGCAAACGAATATCACTGGACAAATCTGTCATAGAAGAAGTAAAGCTTGTTGGCACCAAAACTATTATACACGATTTTTATAAAATCATTACGAACGACTTTGAAACTACTGCTACCAGTTCATCTGATGAAGTCGTGACAAGCATGAATGGACTTTATGCTTGGCTAGAAAAAGGCTATGTTGGTATATTGCCAATGCGATCAATCGGTCCTCTGCAGTGGACCAAAAGTGAGTTGAACCAACATGAAAGCAGAGACGAAAACTATGAAAATGCTGATCGTCGCGCAGAAATTTTATTAAATCTCCTGGATAACGAGTTAGTTGATAAAAAACAAGAGAAGGTCTTTCATGATCAAATCGTACATCCCTATGAATTTATGAAACTTAATGGAAAAATTGAAGTGCGCAACACTGAAAGAAAAGACCTGTCACCAAAGCGACTTTTGAAAACACCAGAAGGTATACTTGAAGCAAAGCAGTTAACACTTATTCTTTCACACAAAGAATTTTCAACAGTTACTATTGAGGAACCAGATCGAGGTATGCATCCTCACATGATCAAGAAAATGCGTGATCTAATTTTGAGGCTTATCACTGGAAAAACCGTTCTAATAATTACCCACAATCCGTCCTTGATCGATAAATGGGCTATGTCAAGAACATTTGTATCATCAAAATCAATTCTGAATGAAACCATCTGTCACTCAATCTGCAAAGTACCAATAGGATACGATAAACTGTGTGCAAACGATCAGATGCAAGAAATGACAAATGTCCTATTTTCTTCACGAATACTTTTCGTAGAAGGTAAAACTGATAAAATAGTGCTAGAAGCTATATTTCGTTTGCTGATTCATGATGACAAAACAATTTCGACTGCACAAAAAAATTTCCTTTTGGCAACTGATATTCGTGAATTATCAGGTTCAGGCGAAGGCGAGGAAAAGAAAGAATTTTGCACAAGGATGAATAAAGAAATATACCTTTTGTATGATTCCGACGTCGATGACAACGATGACAACGATGACAGGCAAATTAATAAAAGTCTGGAGGTTGAAACAGATCAAATTAAGATTGGAGGTAAAAGGGAACACACTTTTCGTTGGAAAGTTGGTGCGCTTGAACAAAGATTTATTGATGTTCTTGATAACTGTAATGATGAAAATGTAATCAATAGAATCACTAAAGTTTTTCGTAAAAAAATACAAGAAAATGACGAGAACTATAACAGTATTAGCAAATATATAAAATTTCGTAAACAAATCAAAGAGTGCAAAACAGAAGAAGAAAAAGCCTTTAACACAGCATCACCAGAATCATCTAAAATACGTGATTTACAGAGAAATATAAAAAAAAAAATAATGAAACGATTGAAGAAAAAAGTTATTCCACAGTCTGATTCTAGTGAAATGGAAATAGTTGCAGCTGCTATGATACAATATTCTGAAGAAGTTAAAGACTTTATAGCCTTTTTGAAAGATGAGAACTTCGAAAAAGGTACAGAAAGAAAAAAAAGCAAACTGGAAAACCCCGAAGATGAGACAATTCCCATACAAACTTCGCTAAGTATGGATATTGATGAAGAAAAAACACAGACAGAAGTGTGATTATTTACTTAAAATAATACTAAATTTTCCTAAAAAAGCATGCTACGATTTCTTTTTCATTGAAGACATTTTTGACACACTGTTGCCAATTATATATTTTTGCGAGAAAAACAATAATTGAAAGATATATTTAGCTTTAATAACTTAAAAACTTTTGAAAAGCATTGTATATCTTTAACTCCAATAAAATTTTGTTTATTGTTAAAATATGCATTTCCTATACGGGTGTCATATGTGGAGCAGGATCTACTTACCCACCGGAGCACCTGAGATCACCCCTGGGTTTTGGTTGGTTCGTGTTGCTAAGTCTTCCCATGTTGTGTTTTGTATACTGTTGTTTTTCTTTAGGTCTTTTTCTATTTTTGCTATGACGTTGACAGTTTATTTTCGACGTATGGGTTTGAATGTCCCTGTGGTATCTTTCGCCTCTCTTTTATACGTTTGATTGATGAACACTCCAATTTTGCTAAGGAAAGTTTTGAGCAAGGTAAATGCATTTGTAAATTGGTCAAATACACCGTTATAAAGTCCAAAACTCAAACTAAACATATAAAACTATATGACCATAATGTATAGCTAAGTACAGGTAAAATCATTTCAGTACAAAACACTGACCAACAACCTAGTTATAACATCGGAGACTTGCATTCTACCAGTTTTGGTACTGACAATAGTGGCATTAATATAGAATTACAAGATACCGCATTCAGTTTTCGAGAGAAAAAGATTTCCAGTTTGGGAAGAAATGTAAGATATGAATATAATTCTTATCAAATGTCAAATCTTAGGTCAATTATACTCTTTTTTATTTAAAATTGCCAAACAAAATCTTCCTTTTCTATATGTATACAGAATTCTGTATGTACTGTACTGCTTAGTTTCATTACAAATTGCATATTTTCTACCAATAAATTGATCGAAGTAAAGAATGTGAACAGTAAATTTGAACGGATTGTTTCAAGAGAGCAATACAAAAATAATTTTGTATTGTATTTCAATAATTTGTTTAACTATTTTTTCATACATTATTTATGTTCAGTTGCGGACTTACGAAAATTATGAGTGTTTATTTCATTTTCTAGCACCGAAACGATACTGCTGCTGGTGGATTGGTAGCCCCAAAGGTTATTATCAGATCAGTAGCCAGGGCTTCAGTACTGACATACTATATAACATATACTTACATAGGCGAGCGCTCAAAAACTTGTTTAACCCCGCCACATTCTTCATGTGCCTGTCCCAAGTCAGGAGCAAGTAGTACAGTGGTTGTAGTTGGTTCATGTCCGTCATATTTTTTTTTCGTAAATTGTTTTGTTATAAATTAGGCCGTTAGTTTTCTCAATTTTATTGTTTCATATTTTTCATGTCGGGGCCTTTTATAGCCGACTATACGGTTTGGGTTTTTCTCATTGTTGAAGGCCGTACGGTTGCCCATAATTGCTTACATCAACTTAACTTGAACTTTGGTGGATAGTTGTCTCATTAACAATCATCCTTCATCTCCTTATTTTTACATTATTTGAAATTTCCCGTTCATAAATTTAAAAATTATAAAGAAACTAAGGTTCAAACTCCCTCAGGCAAAGTTGACCTGGATTTAGCTATTCTTTGAAGGTTCCTTCTGGTATGGTAGCTTCTAACGTTTCTACAAATTTGTCAAATCTTTAGCATGTTTAGGTTTGATAGTAACTGATGAAAATAAATCGAGAAATGCGCTTTGCACGCATGACATTTATAAAGTGTTATTTTTATTTGAAAGGATTTTTGATTGAAATCTATTATATCTTGAGGTCCCCAATCCCAAATGAAAATTCGATGAAATTACAACGAAAAAGTAATAACTTCAAGACTCTACTAACTTCAAAATGACTAAACCTATCACAACAAAAAAAAGGAGAAAACATCTGATAAATTAAACAAAGGCGTTGCTTAAAAATCTTACACAGGAAGTGAATTTAGTTGTTATATACTTGTAAACAACAAATGATTGTGCTCTATACTAGTTTGATCGAAATGTGAAATTAGCATATTTTTGCAAAAAATAGGTAAATCACCATTATGACGTCACTACAATGACATCACAAGCAAATTGCGTCATCAAGACTCGCCCAATATTGTCAGTTTTATAAAGACGTGTATTTAATAGGTTAAATGAGTAACCAATAATTGTTTAGCCCAATTATTTATATACCAATGTGAAGTTTTTATTTACCCTCGTTAAAATGCAAACTACCGAGTACCTAAGCATTTAATCCGTGTGTTATTTTCAATTGATGTTTTACTGTACATTTTTCTATATCTTGAACATTTTTAAAAAGTTTAGACAGAAACAATCCTTTCCTCCATTTATCAGGCTGAAATAAATAGCATTTACTCTATCAAATTTCAAAATTCTCCTATAAAGAAAGGGGTTATAATAATTGATCCTTATTCTCAATTTTTAAAGAAAAGAATTGTATTGCCAGGCATAAGATTGAATGATTGATTGATGTTTTAACGCCACGTTCAAGACGATTGTGCTATTTCGTTGCGTTCAATTTTTTCGTGGTGGAGGAAGACGGAATGCCCGCAGACAACCACCGACCTTCGGTAGGAAAACTGACTATCATAGTCAATTAAGATTGGCGTCGAGCGCACCAACCACGTGCGGGAATCGAACTCACAACCACAGTGTTGACAGGCTCGTGATACAGTAGTTCCAGACTACTTAGACCACTCGCTCAACGAGGCCCTTGCAAGGCATAAGGGAGAAAACAGTTATACTGAAAAATTCGTTAAAAATTGTTGAATAAATAACCTCCTTTTCAATAATTAAAATGTCGTGAAACAAGTGAAAAAATATAGCACCCCTTATATAGCTTATATGATAAAATACTTACAAAGTGACTTGTATTTTTCATACAATTATTTGCTTCTTACTTCATGCAATTACTGTAACATTTATATTGTAACTGGACAGTGATTGCTAACGTTTACATCTAGATCAATTAGTGAGTTTTATTTCACATTGAAAAGGAGCCGTAGGGCATGTTCATACATAAACGCTTAAGAAAAGAATATCCCATCTAAAAAGTAAAATCACAAAAATACTGAACTCCGAGGAAAATTCAAAACGGAAAGTCCCTAATCAAATGGCAAAATCAAATGATAAAACACATCAAACGAATGGACAACAACTGTCATATTCCTGACTCGGTACAGGCATTTTCAAATGTAGAAAATGGTGGATTGAACATGTTTTTATAGCGCTAAACCTGTCACTTGTATGACAGTCGCATCAAATACCGTTATATTTACAACGATGCGTGAACAAAACAGACATAATTGGTAAAATAGTCACAATATGGGTACAGCAGTCATCACTGTGTCACAATCTCAAAACAAACAAATATTTAGCAAAAAAGCCCAAAACAAGTAAAATCACAAAAATACTGAACTCTGAGGAAAATTCAAAACGGAAAGTCCCTAATTAAACGGCAAAATCGAATGATAAAACATATCAAACGAATGGACAACAACATCGTTAAGCAGCTATAAAATCTAAAAACCACATTCTAAATGTGATCGGTAAAATAGGATACCTGAAAATCTTTGCAGAAAATAATATTTTTTTACGATATATAAGTCAAATAATTCATATTTTAAGGTTTTTCTGTCGTATATCACACCGCGTGGTGTCAGGATTGTCCTATGAAAAAACTCCCTACGATCGGTATTTCATTTGATCAATCCTGACATTCCTCGCTGTTTTATACGACAAGAAAAAACTTAAATATGAATTATCTATAACATCGTTTTCGGCCTGATTACACGGCAAAATAATCACCAAATGGTACTTTCTCCTTATCTGATACATATAGGAAGTATCTAATGTAAAATGTGGCATTGAATTTGAAAAAAATAAAATAGTGTCTTATGGAAATTATACAATTT